CCTTAAAGATCAGTATATTACCCCCTCTGTGTTGTTTCTGAACATGTCTGCGCCAATTATCTCTACCTGTTATGTGTTTACCACCATGTGCTCCATGTATCCCCAAATCCCTATCACCCCTATATGTAAATTTGTTCTTTATGTCTGGTTCTGTGATTGTGTCTGGTCAGCTGTTCCTAAGCATATCTATACCAATTCCTAGACCTTTGCTCGTTTATGTGTCTACAACCAGGTGTTCTATGTATCCCAAAATCCCTTGACCCCTGTTTGTGACTACTGAACTTGCTTTGGTTCTGTGACTCCTGGCTGTGTATGAACCTATCTTAATGGTGTTGTGTTTAGACTTTTGTTCACTACTCCAAATCTCTTTTCAAACTATCTCTGTTGTTTTACTGAATTATTTTCAAACAAACTTCGTTTTAATACAGTTTTTTTTCATTAAAACCTTTCAACTTGTGTCAAGCACTCCCACTCTACTCCTAAGTCAATAAGTTCTGCCCCCTCCACTATGTATACTGCCTTGGGATCCTCTTGAGAGCCCTCTGAACTCTGGCATATTGAGGCCGGTCCTTCCACACTGCACTTATTCAATTTGGTTACCAAGTCTAGGTGTAAGCACTGCCCGGGATCCTTGAGATCCTTAGGGAACTTTGATGCACCTGGACTATGACATTGTCTATGGAATTTGGACATTTGAGGCTATTGGAGGCTTCGGAAATCTGGGCCTAATTGAAGGCTCCCTATAGAATAGCTTCTTATTTTCTTATTTACTTATGTAATTCATTCATATGGTCTATAATAACTTGTAAGCAAATATTGGGTAATTAGTGAAAAGGGGGTGTGTAGTTACATGTTTATGGGATAATACGGGAAGAAATCATGTTTATAGGACTTTACATTTTAATCTGATTGCCTTACCAAGTAGAAACCATGCCTATAGGACTTTACATTTGATATGATTGCCTTACTAAGTAGAAAACATGCTTATAGGGCTTTACATCTTGTCATGTTTATCTCACCATGCTAGAAATCATGCTTATATGTCTTAAATAATTCCGTAATAGAAATCATGTCTGCAAGTCTTAAAATCAGCTTCACAAATAGATGCCATGCCTATAGGATTTAATCCAGATTCTGTTATAACCAGTGCTTATGTATGTGTCCATGCCTGCAAGTCTTTAAAATCAGTATTAAACTTAGATAGCATGCCTATAGGGAACAGTATCAATTCCTGCCTATGGATCTCGCCTAAGTTTAGTTTAAATAACTCAATCTGGTTAACGTTTAAATCACTTCTGATTTGGTTTAATTAAGGGTCTATATTTCCTGAAACTAGTTCTTTTAAAAACTGCCTTAATCTGTTATTAGACAGCATGCCTATAGGGATTTAAAAGTCTGTTTTAAGATCTGCCCTGTTTTACCTTAAAATGTATTCATCAGTATTCCGCGTATAGGCAAGCCTGTAGGACGTTTTCAAAACTTGCAATCCTGAAACTGTTTCTAGGACTTAATGTTTTTTTTTTATCCTAACAGGTTTTTAAAACCAATAGGCAACTGCTAAGGCCATTACTCCTCAATTTATAAAAATAAATTACTTGTCTTCTGCATATTCACCTAGACATCCTGCCTCAGGATATTGTTTAATAAAAAGCCCTAAATTGTGCTTGAGTCGTGCTGTTAATATGCCTTATTTGAGGAGGAAACTTTGAGCCTTTAATTGCTCATTTTTATCTTATGTGCTAAAAGTCCTAATTGTTTTGCCTGTCGCCTTAGAATTTTTACCTTTAAAACCTTAGGGGTCTATCTAGAACCACCTATAGGTAGAGGTCCTAAATCCCTCTAGGACCATTAAGAAGGGACGGGTAATAGCATGCAATAGAGATCGCTAACTAAACACTCGCTTTGCATGACCACTAAGGGGATGGGAAGGGTAGATTTGGGATATGATGATTACGCGCTAATGTCACGTATAGCCCCTCATCGAGGAGTGTTTACCGGACATTGTGTAGGATGATCCTATAGTCTAATAACCTAGGACCCCTCTCCCAAATTCTCTTTACGCGAAGCTTTACTTTCCTGCACACAACTTGTTTAAATTCTTGTCTTTATTATTTGAATTGTACAATGCCCAACATGCTCTGCCTACAATTATTTGCTTCAATTGTTTATTTATGGACTAATTTGTGAACATAAGTTCGGCCGGGACCCACAGTTGTGGACCAAGAGGGGTGCCTAACACCTTCCCCTCGAGGTTATTTTGAGCCCTTACCCTAATCTCTGGTGATGCAAACCAGTCTAAGAGTTAATCGCTCTAGGTGCCCTAATGCACCGTAATCCGTTAGGTGGCGACTCTTCAAATACCCAATTCCCAAAAGGAAATGAGTTATCACACCCCATGAATGTCGAAACCCGGACCTCCCCCCGCGAGGAGGGAAAAAAAGGGGGCGCGACACGTAATCGATCGAAGATCACGGCGGAAATTTTGGAACATATCAAATCAAGGGCGATTATTTAGGCTAATCATGGTATTTACTTCCGTAATTAGAATTGTACCATAGATAAGATTCATCTACTATATAAAGAGGGTTCTAATCATTTTATAAACACTTCACATTCACGCAGGCAATATAATATTCTCTCTTTAATTTACATTCTCTCTTTAATTTACATTCTCTTGTTCATCAGCTTGTTACATTATTACTGTTACTGAACAACTAGCTCGAGGGTATTCAACTCGAGGGCTAAACTCTATTCAAACACTGGTTTGCTTTATCTTATTATTGATTTTCACTACTAATATTTGTATTTATGAATTGGTATTAGGTGAAATCACGTATCCTTAAAACCATATTATAAATTTAATTGTTATCCGGTTTTTAGGGTAAATCGAGATTAGCGGGTATAATATCGAGTATCAACCCCGAACAGCCATCAAGTCTCAAATCTTAGCAGACTTCGGGGGTGTGGACCCTTTTCACAGATGGCGCTTCGAGTGTGAAGGGGTTCAGGATAGGCATCGTTTTGAAGCCGCCCACGGGAAATACAATTAGACAATCTATCAAAACCCCTAAGTTGACTAACAATGAGGCTGAGTATGGGCCATGATTGCAGGTGCTAAAAGCTTGGGAGCAGAGGTCATCGAGGCCAAATATGACTCCCTACTTGTGGTTAACCAAGTCAACAGGACCTTCGAGGTTCGAGAAGATCGAATGCAGAGGTACTTGAACAAATTGCATGTAACCTTACACCGATTTAATGAATGGACCCTATAGCATGTACCTCGAGAACAGAACAACGAGGTCGATGCCCTTGCAAATTTAGGGTCATCAGTCGAAGATAACGAAATTAGCTCAGGGACTATCTCTATACGGTCAAAATCGGGCTCATCCGATTTTACTATTCGATTGAGACAAGGGAGTCGCATCGAGGGTCAGCCTCGTAATGGATCAGATCAGAGCACAAAGACGAGGTATCGAGTTCGAGAATCGAGGTACCAGTCGAGATCGAGGCCAGCAACGATCGGGACCAAATATGACAGACTTCAAGCAAAGAACAATAACAGAAAAGCGAGATATCCGTAACCGATCGAAGATCACGGCGGAAATCTCGGAACAGATCAAATCAAGGGCGATTGTTTAGGCTAATTATGGGATTTACTTCCGTAATTAGAATTGTACCATAGACAGGGTTTCTCTACTATATAAAAAGGGTTCTGATCATTTTGTAAACACTTCACATTCACGCAGATCAAAGCAATATAATATTCTCTCTTAATTTACATTCTCTTGTTCATCAGCTTGTTACATTATTACTGTTCCTGAACAACTAGCTCGAGGGCTAAACTCTGTTCAAACACTGATTTGCTTTATCTTATTGTTCACTACTAATCATTGTATTTATCAATTGATATTAAGTGAAATCACGTGTCCTTAAAACTATATTATAGATTTAATTGTTATCCAGTTTTTAGGGTAAACAACATTAAAAAAAGAGTATTCATAGTAAACACTAAACACTATTCTCTCCCATCATTCTTATAATCTCTCTGTTAAGATTTTGAATAGGTACAAATTAAAAGATCTATTTAATAATACTAATCACAAGAAATGTTTGACTAAATTATCTTTATCGTCTCCGCCTTAAATGAGTAATTCTTGGAGTAATAGGAATAAATTGAAAAATGTAATTTATGTTTACTAAGAGACAAATATTTTAAACCAAAATTTTGTGACTAAAGTAATAGACAAAAGATCAAAAAATTTATACTCCAGCTACTTTTAAATTATGTAACATTGTTTTTTTTACTAGTTTAATTTTTTAAAAATAATTTAGCTTAAAACTCTCATTTATTCTTAATGACATAATTACATAAATATCATTGCTATTATTACAAATTCCAATTTTTTTCTTAAATTCCGCATTCAGTTAATATATGTATATAAATTAAAATGATGGGAGTAACGTAAAAGTTGCCATTTTGCACACGGGTTAACAATGCTGTTTTTAACGTACTGGTCAACTAGCCCATCTTTTAATCTTACGATGTAAGTTTCGTAACGTCATTCCAAAAGGGATAAAGTGCTGATGGAAAGAAACGAGCGTAAAAAATCCAGCCGTTAAAGAGGTCCAAAAGTGAATCGAGGAAAAAAGGGCAAAAAAAAAAAAAAGGCAAATTCCTATAGCAAATTCTCATAAGCGGGTTTTGAGGAGGACAGTGTGTACACATATCTTATGGAGATAGAGAAATTATTTCCGGTTCCCTCTGCTCATAAAATGCATGGTCACAACACATTAAAAGAAATACATTAAAGGGAATACTATGGGAAAAAAAAAATATTGTAATAACAGCATATTAATAAGATAATTAAAGCAAAAAAGAAAACCGGTAATACTCGCTCCGTCTCATATTGTTAATACGAGAAGGAGGGAGTAATAAAAATCTAAGCGTAAATATATATTTTTCTCTTAATTATTTAAATTAGTTTAGTTTCAATGTAAAATTCACCGCTTCACTCTCTTCCTTCCCAAACACACTTTCACATTCAAACCCAACAAATCCGCCATTTACTATTATTTGTACTGCTGCTACTTAGTACTCCACTACTTATATTATTCCCTCACTCCTCGGAATCTCTTCAGTTTCCCGCTACTCTTTCTCTCTCTAAATATCTAAATCTTAAACCCTAATTCACTGTAAACGGTCCGTTTCATTCAATTCTACTTCGCTTTATCCTTCTCTCTCTGCCTTTAGGTACATGTTTCTCTATCTATAGCTTTTGTCTTGTCTCCCTCCCCTGTTTATTTGACGGTTTCGTAACAATTCAAATGTTTTTCTGCATTTTTTCTCCAAATCTTATTCATTTCTGTTATGTTTTTTATTTTTATTTTTTGCTGATTCTTGCTGTTTTTTAAGGTGATAATTCTCTTTGTTGTAAACTTTTTGATCATGTTCCGTTGCTGATAAAACGCTAGTGCAAAGTTTTGATCTTTGTTGATTTGAATTTTGTTTTTGTAATTAAAAATGAAAAAATGCTCTTTTTGGTGGATTTTATTAGTTGTCCAGGAGGACCTTTAATCAATGAATTTGGAACTATAGGGAGAAGATTAGTATGACCACTAGATGAAATTGTTATGCATAAATTGATTTGGAGAGGATACAAGTGATTTACTTAGCGGATCCTTACTAGTTTGGGATCAAGGCGGAGTTGATTGATTGATTAGTTCTTGAGAAGCACACAAATTCGTATTTTGTTTGAAAAAGAAGTTTCTCTTTTTTTCGTGTGTAATTAGTAGCTCTTGCCACTCCCAAGTCTAGATAAAAGAAGAGGGTCCTTTTGGTTGACGGCTAGTATAAAGATAGTGTAACATTATACTGAATTGTTTGGCCCAATGTAGGTGTGCCTACAGACGTGTATAGATTGAAATGGATAGATTCCTATTGCCAACCCTTACTTGGCACTGGGCATGGCTGCTGTTTTTCTCATATGCACTCGGAAATTGTTCCTATGGAAGTTGAGTGTGTAACTAATATATAACTGTTCTTATTGATAGTAATTTTTCTTTTGCAGTGTGAGGATATCTTTTGGCTGCAAGATCATGATACAAGTTAAGGAGGAATCTCAGACTCTGGACTTTGGTGGATTTGCTTCTTGTTCATCTTTCTCTGATAGCAGTTACGAGGCTAGCACTCCGAGATACTCCTCCGAACCTGGGTAAGCTGAAAACCTTTGATTTGCTTTCGATCATGAAGTTGGCCTCAAATAAGGCCATTGAAGTAAGTGGTTGATTAATGTTATTTAGTTTTCACTTTATTTTTGTAAATCCTATTTCAGTTCTAGTTATCGAAGGAGCTCAGGTCCAACTAAACGTTCTTCCCAGGCAGGCTGGACGGAAGAAGAGGTAATGCTAGTCGCTGGAGCTCGTGTTGTCCCTCTTTATATGTTAAAATTTAAGAGCATTACTTCTCTACCAAAGCTTCCTGTGTACTTCTATGATGAATTTCTATAACCTTGTGAGTGTCTCCATGATAGTTAGGTACTTATACAATTATCTATACAAGTTGTCATGTCCTTTTTCCTTTTGGTTTCTTTGAGGCATGTGGTTGCTTAGGATGTATTGAGCAAATGAAAGGATAAATATAGAACTCTGTTAGTCAGAATTCCAGTTCCATTTGTTCATTTTTACTATTTCCATAGGCTCGATTCTGTTGATCCAGAAATTTTTGGCTTCTTTATTCCTTTCGCAGGATAATCTGTTGACTGAAGTGGTGAAAAGGTTCAAAGGGAGAAACTGGAAAAAAATAGGTAAGACACCATTTATTCTGTCATGCTCTATGCTTTTCAGCTAGGTTAACCACAACGACCTTTACTTTTTGCTCCTAGTCGCTCTATGACTTGTGTCCTGCCCCAGGATACGGTAATCTGGGGCAAGCATAGGGAAATGGCTTGCATGGGGAAATATCTTTATGAGTGTTTTTTAGTACCTTAGAACACTAGCACTTCTGTTTGCTGGCATTTGCTGCCTCTTAAGTTATCTACTTTTACCATGAAAGGAACAACAAAACACGTTGACACTGGTTATTGAGTTAACGAACTATCTGCACTATGAAAATTACATACATGAAAGCAGTTCATTATCTACCATTACTCAGTAGGTGAAAGGAAACAATTTTAGGAAGCCTCTATGATCTACCTTTCTTTCAATCCTTTTTGGTACAATTGAAACATTTAGCATTTTTGATCACCTGGCTATGTCATGGAGTGAGTTATACTGTTGTATCCATGAACAAAAATGTTTTTTGTGATTGTATTGTGTTCTCTTTTGTTCTATAGCTGAGTGCATGAATGGAAGGACTGATGTGCAGTGCTTGCATCGCTGGCAGAAAGTTCTGAATCCAGAGCTTGTAAAGGGTCCTTGGTCAAAGGAGGTACTAATCGATTTTACAACCGTTGGTTCGCTTGGAATTCAATTTCTATATTTCAAGACTATAATTATTAAGACAGTTGTTCTTTTCCTTTTGGAATTTCAGGAGGATGACCTGATTATTGAGTTAGTTGAGAAATATGGCTGTAAGAAGTGGTCTTTTATTGCTAAGTCTTTGCCTGGTCGCATTGGCAAGCAATGTCGGGAAAGGTCAGTTTCCAACTCTGCCTAAATCTGTTGCTATGCAACAGTTAATTTTATGTTTTTATATCTCCGGTTAATTTACATGCTCATAAAATCATTACTTGTAAAATGCTTCCTGGAACGTATGTCATTAGTCTACTTACAGAATTCTTTCCATTCCTTGAGAACTCATTTTTCTCTTGTGGCATGCAGGTATCATATCTTTGTCTTATTTTCACTTAGCCCTATTGGATTTTCTTTCCTTTGAAAGCACTTCTTGTTTACTTCCTTTTTGCTGTTGTTTGATGTTGTGTTGTTTCTTTTCAAAACAGTCAATCAATCAATCAACTATGCCTCAATTCCATACTAGTCGGGATTGGCTATATGAAAATCCGTAATATACTTTATGGAACAACCCTCCTTTATCTGGATTCAGACGTGCTATTTTTGCTCATAGGCAGAGTTTTATATGTTTTTAAGTGAATAAGAAAAAGCATGACAACCGGGAGCAGCCAAATGTTTGATTACTGTGATTTACTGGTGATTGCTTTGTTGAATTTTGTAGTTAAAGGAGACCCGCCGCTCCATGTTCTGTTCTAATTGAAAAAAGAAACATGACATTGATTGATTATTGCAATTTATTATACTTGTTGCAATCTGCTATGTAAAGTTGTAAACTTATGTTGATATTATCCTTGGATGTCACAGGTGGCACAACCATCTTGACCCAACCATAAAAAGAGATGCTTGGACTGAACAGGAAGAATCAGTCCTATGCCACTATCACCAAATATATGGGAACAAGTGGGCAGAAATTGCGAGGTTTCTGCCTGGAAGGTAAGCTAGAAAAGCTATTTCTTCAATTATGTATAAGGGTGTTTGATGTAGAGAATCTTTGGGCATTCCCAGACCCTAGATCAAGTAATTTGCAAAATCTATCCCCCTCTCATACCAATGAGTGCATGGTGCTGATTTGCTATCATTACTACAAGTGTGATATATCTCATATGTCAAATCAAACACAACTTTTTGATTTTTAAGATTTATCAGTACATTGCTTAAAGAGGGTAGTAAAATTTTGAACACTGTTGGAGCTTTTTTCAAGGGGCATAAGTAGATAATTATAAGTAAAAGGTTCAAATTACCTCTAAAGTATTCGACTTGTCTTACGTTTTCCCTCCATTCAGTTTTTTTTCGGTCCATGAGAGCCCGCACTTTTAACCTTTCGGCTCATAGGTAAACATGGTATATTTGGTCCCCTTCACTTTTGCTTCTCTATCTTATTCTCCAGTTTCGCTTCCATCTGGACTTAGCAATCCATTTCTCCCAATATGGTTTCTTATTTTACTTCTTGAAGCTCAAACCATTCTATTACTAGAACTCTTTTAGCATCTCTTTTTATCAAATCAAAAATGGGTAAAAGTTTGCAACTTGTAGTAATAGGTTAAGTTTTATTTTCCAAAAGATTAACTGATATGAGTCCAATCTAACTTTGAAAAGGTTGACCCTGCAAGAAAGTTAGAACAACCAAAGGGGACAGAGGTAGTAATAGTGTGATAGCTCCTCGGGGGAGCAGTTTAGATATTCTAAGATATGTAACTATACATTAAGGACACTATGTGCACCCTGTTTCATCCGGAGGTTCGACGTTCTTTTGTGCAATTACCTAGAGTACTAGATGCATCAATTTTTCTCTAACAAGCCAAGTTCTTAATATATGATGATTACTCTAAACTGAATTTCTTGTTCTAAGATTGACGCATGCTGTTTGATTCATTCACCGAAGTACCATATTTCCTTGCTGATCTATTTTCCATTTGGACCTCTCGCAGGACTGATAATGCAATTAAAAATCATTGGAATTCCTCAGTAAAGAAAAGATCAAACTTGAATTTGCCAAGTAGGTTAGTGCTGGATACCGAAAGTGAGGGATCTCCTAATTTCTCTAGTGACAAGAAAAAACTAGAGATCAAGAAGCATCCATTACAAGCTCAAAATGCAGAACAAACAATCTTTTTAGGCGAGCAGACAGGATTGGATAATGCTGCTGTTGCTTTGTCAACTGATCTGAGAATTGGATATGCTTATTCTGCTGGAAATGCTTTGCATAAGGATACTTCTTTATTTGGAGCCTGTATATCAGCAGAAGAAAATGTGAGGGATCTGATAAAGCCACTTGGTGGAATACAATTTGGCAAGGCAGATGTTCTTCCGATTGGTGAGACAGATAAACCATGCCAATCCAATTTAAGTCGCACTAAAATATCATATCCACTCTCAGCCTCTTCTTCAGATCTTCATTTGGATCAGTTGCACCACACAAGATGGAGTACTTCTCAAGTTGAGGCTGTTCATCCTACTACTTTTGGGAGCATGTATGAATCTCCCAAAAGGTCTAGGCACGACACTGTTAATGATCCTGACCATGATTTTTTGAGTTTGTCATTGGCTAGCTTTACCGAGGTTCATTCCCAAAGTAACAAGAAGAATAAAGCATATGACACACAATCTTCTTTGGGTCTCAAGCAGCAGGGCTCCTTGTATTATGAACCACCACAGTTAAAGGACTTGCTGATTCCTTTAACAGATGAAAACCTTAGTAGAGACAACCTTATCAGGCAAAAAAATGGTCATCCATTTTGCTCTACACCTCCTAGTCTTAAATTAACAGTCTCTGCTAATGGTAGTAGTCCAGAATCTGTCTTAAGGAATTCCGCAATGAGTTACACAGGGACTCCTTCAATCATAAGAAAGAAGAATTCCAGATTTCCCGAAGCTGCAACGCATTCTAGTTGCACAGGCACCACCACTCCCACACATAATTTCCCAAGAGCTTCTGACAGGGAAGACACCTCAAACCTGAAGGACAGATTTTCTGGATGTAAATCATCAGTTTCGGGAAAATCTCTTGGAAGACGGTTGGAATATGCCTTTGATATGGAATGGGATGCCTCTAGATGTTGCACACCAGTTTCTGCAGCTTCACCCTGTGCACTTAGACTTGGTGCTAATACGATGCTGACACCATAAAAAAGGTATAATATTAAGTAGTGAAGCAGTTCACTTTTAGTTTTTCTTTATCTTCAGCTTTTGCTGCAGAGTTTGAGAAAATATTATTTATTTATTTGATAAAGAGAATACTACTATTATTTTTGGGAGCTTGAACTCTAGAATAGCATCATTGTTATGCTAGTTTGGTTAGACAGCTTGAACTGATCTGACAAATCCGCAAGAGATCCTAACCCAACCTCTTATTGATGGATGTGTGTGATTGCTCTGCTTTCCCATGTTAGTATATTTTAAGCGGTTACACTTCCGAAATTAGCAGGACGTAAACATGGCCATTTTTTCCACAGAGCAAGGTGATGTATGTTTTCAGTAATCTGAAATTCTTATCTGATGCTTCTTAGGCTCCTTGTATTGGATGAGTAGAACATAAGGGAACTATTGGGCTTATAGCGTTTTGTCTCAAAGAATCTTGAGCCTGCAGGTTTCACGACTTAAAACTGATTTGAAGATAAGCTTTTGTGCACGTGTCTTTTGAACAAAATGGCTATATTCATTACGTTATTCTCTTTCTTTTTATTTTTGTGTTTATTCATTTGCAAAGCTGAAAGGATTGTATGGTAGAAGGGCGGAAGTGGTATGTGTATAGGGTGCATATGGGCATGACCATTGCCTTATTCCATGCTTTACATTTATTCATTTTTAAAGCTGAAAAAATGGTGTATTCAGAAGCGAGGACATGAGTATGTGCATGGATGAGTATACAGGCATATACTATGACTCCACATAATATATTCCTGCCTAACTGTTCATCTATCCTCTACAGATTATACTGGTATTAGTAGGTCTGTGACCAGAAACCATTTTGAATTTGGATCTTGACATGTCGGTGGTTTTTAACATTAGGCATTTCGCCAAGAAATTGGTGGGCTTATGTGAATTGGGTCGGGGTGGCGGGATCCCCTAGAAAATGCTTCTTTTATGCCTTGGGTAATATTATAATTTTCATTTTTTGGTATTTAGGATTAATTCTGAGGATCAGTCTGGAGAGGCTTTTGTTGTAGCATCACAAGCTGGTATTGAGCCTCTTCTCGCATTTGCTGTTAAAGTTGTTGCTAGTGTTCCTATTTCTATATGGTGTTGGTGTTGCATATTAATCCGCCGTTTTTGAATTGCAGTCAGATCATATGATCTGATGGATCGATCGGCTACTTCTTCAAGGTCAAATCTTTGAGGAAAGAAAATGTCAATGAAACAATGACATGCTGAGCCACTTTGAGAAGGCCAAGTTAAAGCTGAAGAATTAGTTTGAAATGGAAGTTGTAATTTTGGCAGTCACAAAAACTTGTGAGCTTATGGGACTAATGAGAAAATATGGCAAAAAGCTATAAACTACATGAGCATGGAAATTTGTTGGATAACTCTTGTTTTGGGAGTTGTCCCTAATTCTATATGGATGTAATATTATAATTTGATTTTTCCCTGCCCTACTTCAGAAATTTAGCGAAGGAAGGATTTGTAAATATGCATTTAAATCAATTGCCTTTAGTTCTGTGGCGTGTTACATGGTTGCAAAAGTTGTGTTTCTAATGCTCGATTCGCCAATCCAAAAAGAATGGTAGATAAATGAATGTTAATTCTTTACCTATTTAGTGAAGCATAGTTAGAAAATGTTTGATAAGATCATAGTATCAAACATTGATAGGAGTCAGACCTACGAATACTGGGGAGGTGATTAGGCATGACATGATGCGACTTCAGTTTATCGAGGGCATGACCCTTGATAGGAGGGTGTGGAGACCGAGGATTAAGGTAGAAGGTTAATAGGTAGTTGAGAGCTTCCTTCTCTTATTGTCATGTTGTGTAGTTCGTTTCAGTTATCATATTTCCATGTTACTATTTTGCACCACTTACTCTTTTGTCCCTCCCTTTCTTCTCTTTCTCTCTTTTTCTTCTTCTCCTCCCTACCTTTCTAAGCCGATGGTCTATTGAAAACCACCTCCCTACTTTCATTAGGTAGGGGTAACGTCTGCGTACATACTACCCTCCCCAGATCCCACATGTTAAAATATACTAGATATTTTGTTGTATAGTAAGAGGAAAACAATTTGTCTCTCCGAATTGTCACAGTACAAAACAAATTGAGATGAGCAAAGTATAATTTTAAGTATCAAATTGAGATAATAATTTCATCAGTGATTAAATTTTAGTCGCCAAAACCAAACTACAGTATCTGTTAATGATAAAATTTCGTAATTCTGACCCTAGGAAGTCACGAAGCAAATACACTCAACTTGATCGATTTTGCATAGTAGTTTTAGATATGGACGTGTAGCGTCAGCATTTTCTGGTAGACCATCATTTTCGCCAATAACAGGATTGCATCCTTAGCTATCTCAAAGAGTTTTCGGATAAAATGATAAGAACCAATTATTGCTTTGTCTATCAATTATTAACTAATAATATGTCCTCGTTATATAGTACTCCTTTTTTTTTGTTAGAGACCTTTTCTTTTCCTTTATGCTTAACTGAGAATTATATTATTATTATTATTATTATTATTATTATTATTATTATTATTATTATTATTATTATTATTATTATTATTATTATTATTATTATCGTTATTGTTATTGTCATTATCATTAGCCTTTTTTGAGGTACGATTTGATTAATAAAATGCAAAATGGCAAAGAAGAAAAATATGCTTTTTTGCGTTTTTATTATTTGTAACAAACTGAGCTATCTATTTCAGTTAGGAACTTAGGAAAGAAATCTTGGAAATCGAACATTTGAGAAGATGAGAATTCCACGTCAGCCTTGACGTCTGAAATGACTCAACAACAAATTTTAGTTTTTCAAATTGGAATATTTTCGTGTACTGTACTACAAAATCACGCCTACACATTGGCCTATGGTGAGGTACTGATTGTGGGGATCGGCGCGGCTGAAACACTTGAACATGCACATTTAGGCCCCGTTTGGCCATACATTTTGGCACCGTTTTTTCAATTTTTTTTTGAAAATATTATTTGTTCATATAATGATCTATTTTTGAAAAATTTCTGAAATTATTTTTCAAGTTCCTAAAATCTAGTTTAGGGTAGATTTTGGATGAAACTTGTTCTCCTACTCACAAAACTTCAAATTTTTTTCAAATAAAATGCATGTCCAAATATAATTTCAACTTCCAAAATTATTTTTTAAAACTACTTCAAAAATTATTTTTTCAAGTTTCAACTAAATCTATGTCCAAACGCTAGTTTAGAGATTCGACGATAAAAATCGGATAACGAAAATATATTACTAGTACTGTAGGTATAGAAAAGCAATACAGGTAAGAAAAAGAATTACGTTTAACGTCTTTCTAACCTACTACCGTATCCTCGATCTCCACACCCTCCTATCAATGGTCATGCCCTCGACAAGCTGAAGACGTGTTATACTCTGCCTAATCGCCTCTCCCCTATACTTCTTTGGCCTACCTCTACCTCTCCTTGGCCCTGCCATAGCTAACTTCTCACACCTCCTTACTAGGGCATTTGTAAATCTCCTTTTCACATGACTGAACCATCTCAAACGCACTTCTCGCATCTTGTCCACTATTGAGGTCACTCCCACCTTATTGGTGACAAAGCACGAAGAGTAAGATCAAATTTGCGGCCGTTCTTATATAGCCCCAGAATGTTTCAGTTTATGCTCCTACCTATTATCTGAATATACCAAGAAAGATTGGGGTCTATGTAACTTAATGCAAATTGCCCGAGGCCTATGCTTTTTTGAATCCAATCATAGATATATTATGCTCGTCATACCTTTATTCTTTTTTCTCCTGATACTGATACTCAATTTCTCAAAATATTTCAATTGGTACATGCAAGACATAGGTGCTAGATTCCACCAAGTATACAAATGGAACCTAACCATACATGTCCTCCGATTATATCTTTTAAACCTCCTCTTGGCGAAAAGTCAAAAAATTCACAAAAAAAAAAAAAAATTGAATCTAATTAGGCTATTCAACTATTTCGACCATTTTCGAGCACCTCTATATTTTTCGAGGCGTTCGAAGGTTTGATTCACTTTCAGGATGCTTTCGTAGTGAAGTGGTAAACACATGAGAAAAGCAAAAACAAAAGTAAGGAATTAATTATCATCTCATTAATAAGGGATTTTTTTTTTGTTGCTGCATGCATTTACATATAAGATTGAAAAAAGAAAAGAAATTCATGTATTATTTAACAGGAATATATAACAAACTTTGGGTGAGGGACCAAAAGCAAACCAACTCGTTGATTTTAACGTACTTGAATTAAAATAGCTACAATAAAGCCAAAAGATGGCGTAAAGAATAAGGCTCAGTTTGCAGCAAATTGAATAATATTACTTTCACAGAATTTGCTTATAGTATATAGTATGGGACAACATATGCAACAAACGCACTATTACTCTCAACTTGGATCACTTTTATAACTGAATAAATATTTTTATTAAAATGTGTGTATATTTTGGATAAAATAAAAGTTGAGATGAAGCACTTTACATATATGAGGCGAAACAACATTAGCCACAATAAAAGTGAATATTTATATTTAAATTAGCAGAAGTGGAGGACATAGCATATAATCAATGGATAAAACTTAGAAGCAGAAAATATTGTACACAAATTTAGTTTGCTATATAGGCTTAATGTTATGTGTTCACAATAACATTTAGATCAACAAAATCATTAATCGTAATATAACAACGTAAGTATTTATCACTTGGTAAGTCAAGTCAATTTTTAAAAAAGTTAAATTAAATATGAAGGATGTACAAGACAAATAATCCAAGGCACAATGCGTAAATTTAAAATGCCTTTTGAAAAATTTAATTGTCCCATTAATCGAGACATTAATGCCATGAGACTTTCTTTAAGTTTGTCTTAAAAACATTGATAAAGTACACCTTGGCTTTGGTCAATTCATTTAAGTAATACTTTTTGCAAATTCATTGTGTTAGGCCAATTTTTTCAAAAAATACGTTTAAGTATCAAATTACGAAAAATAACCGTAATGTTGAGGTTGCAATTAGTATTATTTAATTTATTTTTAAATATTACTTATAAAAGAATTAATTAAAATATAAAATATAAATTAAAAAAGTTAATCAATATGTACTATAGTTATTCCAAAGCAATAACATTGAGTATCTAGTATTACTTATTGTTTACATGACAATTTAAATATATCAAAATATAGTATTCAATATAGATTAAAATTTACTCTTAGGATAGGAGAAAGGGAATAAAAATATGAGTGAAATAAAAAAGAGAAGAAAATTATGGTAGAAAAAAATGTAAATTAATGAGGAATATTTTGAAAAATACAAATTTATTGTAAGGTTATTTTTGCTTGAATAAATTAATTTTCTGTTTCTGCTTATTGGAACAAGTTAGAATTTATAGCTTCTCCCCAGCAAAAAAACTATTTCTACTGCTACTGAAAAGTACTTTTTTTTTATCTTGGCCAAACACCTCAAATTTAAAAAAAAAAAACAAACTTTTTTAACAAAAAAAAAAGTACTTTTGGCCTCCCAAAAGCTTGATCTAACATGCTCTTAATAACACTAGAACAATTGTGGAACAGAGTTTAGAGTGACTTAACTATTGTGTATGGCCTACATACTATAGCTGATAGAAGAGCTTTATGGGATCAATTAAGGGATATCAGTGCAGTAACCAAAAGCTCTTGGTTGATTATAGGGAATTTCAATAGTGTCCTATATGTGGAGGATAGAATTAATGGGGCACCTGTACACCAAACTAAAGTGGTTGATGTCAAACAATGCATTTCTGATACTGGAGTAGGTTTGATAAACAAAAAAGGGATGCAGTCTTCATGGAGTAATAAGAGAGGGGCTGAAGATAGGATATACAGTCATATAGACTGGGAGTTTGATAATGCAGAATGGTTTTGGCTGTATGCACGCATTGAAGCAATCTACCTAGTGCCTGGATGTTCTGACCATACACCTATCAGAAGTTCATAGGATGAAGATGAGGAAACCTTATAGATTACTGACTGTAATGTTACAATAGGAAGAGTATAAGGCAGCAGTGGAAAATATATGGAGGCAAGACATACAAGGGCACACTATGTATACCATCTGTAGGAAACTTAAACTGCTGGAGATTCATACTAGGGGAATACAGAGACAATATTCATCAGTAGAGGTCAAACTCAAACAAATAAAGGAGGATCTCAAAGGCATACAACAGAATCTTAATGATGATCATTTGAATCCACAACTGATAGAGCAAGAAAAGAAGCTTCTGATGCTAATAGAGAAATGGGATGCAGTACATGAGAAGGTATTAAGACAGAAGTCAAGGGCTATATGGATCAAACATGATACTAAATATTTCCATGCTCAATTGAAGGCTAGACAGGCAAGGAATAGAGTCACATCTATTTGTACAGAACAAAATGATAGATTGACTGATCCCCTGCAGATTCTGCAGGAGTTTATACAGTCCTTCAAGATGTTATTAGGAGAAGCTAACGTAGTGATGCCTGGAATTGATGTTAACATAGTCAGGGATGGCCCCTGTCTATCAATGGCACAGCAGCAACAAACGATAATGCCTATAATAGAGGAGGAGATTACAAGGGTGGTATAAGAATTTCCAAATGATAAAGCTCCAGGAATTGATGGATATCCAGTTGAATTTTTCAAAGAAAACTGGCAAATAATTAGGAAAGAAGTAATACAGGCAGTAATGCAATTCTTTGAAACAGGGAAACTACTTATAGAGATCAACTGCACCATTGTCACTCTCATACCTAAGGTGGCAAATCCAAACTCTGTAAAGGAATTTAGGCCCATTGCATGTTGTTCTACAATGTACAAGATTATTGCCAAGATGCTTACTATTAGGCTGAAGTTGGTAGTGGATTATCTGGTGGTTCCTTCACAGACAGCATTCATAGAAGGAAGAAATATCTTGGATAATGTAATACTAGCTCATGAACTGATCAAAGGGTACAATCAGAAAACAGTTTTACCAAGATGTATAATTAAGGTGGATATTAGAAAGGCATATGACTCAGTTGACTGGAATTTTCTAAGGGCTCTTATGCTGGAATTTGGTACCCCATGTAAAATGGTCAAACTCATTATGGAGGGTGTAAGCACAATTTCTTATTCCTTACTGATCAATGGAGGATTAACACTAAAATATCAAGCGAAAAAAGGATTAAGACAAGGTGACCATATGTCACCTTATCTTTTTGTTTTGGTGATGGAGTACTTGAACAGATCTTTGAAGCAGCTGAAGTCAAATCTAGATTTCAACTATCACCCTAAATATGCAAAATTAGGAGTGGTTCACATCTATTTTGTTGATGACTTATTAATGTGTTGTAGAGCTGATAAGGTGTCTATTGAACTTATGATGAACCAATTTGAAAAATTCTCCACAGCTTCAGGCTTGCATGCTAACACGGAGAACAATTCATTCTATGTGGCAGGAATATCTACTCAATACAAGCAAGAAATACTGGAGAAGTTGCAGTTCACCATTGGAGAAATACCATTCAAATACTTAGGTGTCCCTTTGTCCTCAAAGAAACTCAGCATTAGTCAATGCATGCCATTGATTGATAGAATTGCAGGAATGGTCAGATGCTGGACTGCCAGATTTTTATCATATGCAGGGAGAGTCCAACTAATCAAAAGTGTGTTGTTTGAAATGTAAACCTACTGAGCACAAGTTTTCCTGATTCCAAAAAAAGTGCATGACATGGTTACAGGGATATGTAGGAACTTTCTATGGCATGGAAGCATTGAAGGAAAGAAAGCTCCTATAGCATGGGATACAATTTGCAAGTCAAAAGCAGCTGGAGGAATGAACATTATTAACTTCTCTATATGGAATAGAGCAGCAATAGGGAAACTGATATGGGCAATTGCACAAAAGAAAGACAAGCTATGGTTATGTGGATACATAGTCACTATATAAAGAAGAAGGAGATAGAAAACATGGAAACACCTAAACAGGCTAGCTGGGTGGTAAGGAAAATATTTGAAGCCAGAAAATGGCTAACCACTGGAATACAAGAGCTGGAAGTATATGCTGTAAAGGGGAAGTATACCATCAGCAAAGCTTATCAATCCTACATACCACAATATTCAAAAGTTACTTGGATGACATTGTACTTGACACAAGGTATGATCCCTAGACATCAATTCATTCTGTGGATAGCAATGCATCGGAGACTAACAACTGTGGATAGCTGATCAGATGGGGAATAACAGTGCCTGCAGAATGTGTGCTTTGTATGACAGATAAAGAGGAAAATCATGATCGCTTGTTCTTTGAATGCTCATATTCAAAGTTCATTTGGAAACAGATTTTGAGCCTGTTTGGAGTTGATTGACAAATAGGTAGATGGCAGAAAGAAATTGAATGGATGGCTACAAAAACAAAGAGCAGAAGTACAAAATGGAAGATTCTGGGAAGTGCCTTTGCAGCAACAGTATATCATACATGGATGGAAAGGAACTTACGAAGTTTCAACAGACAAGAAAAGAAAGTAGGGATAGAGTTAGAGATATTGTATTGCAGTTGCACACTAAAGGAGATAGCTACTGTAAATGGAGAGTCGAGTTAGATAGGATAAATAGGTATCCATGTTAGCAAAAAATTTAACTTCCAGATGTGGAGCTTAAGTGATAAAAAAATAGGCTATTTTTGTAAGACCCGTCTCTAAAGTCCAATGAGCGGATGGATGTATATATTTACACTTGGTTAAATAAAAGTTTCAGTTTAACCAAAAAGAAAAAAGAAATTGTGGAACAGAGTTCCAATTTTGGTCATTAATTTATAGTACTAAATTTATGCATACTATATTATAATGGTAACTCTCCACTTAAAATATTGGATTCAAATCCATATTCCATTCATTATTATTTCTTTGTCTTTTCTGCACACGCAGGTAGGGAGCGTTTCACCCCAAACGGGCCCTACGGGGCGCGAATTTGAATATGGTCGGGCTTTAATACGGATACCAGGCACCGGATGGAAAATTAAAAAAAAAAGGGAAATTATCAGCTATGTCTATTTATAAGTAGCTCATTACATAAATTGGCCAATTGATAAAATATTACTAATATTAGCCAAATTAGCCAATTAGTTATTTATAGCAAAAAAAATATCAAATTTTTGCTTTGTTTTGAGTGGGTGTATTAGAATAGATTGGGCACAACTTAAGGAGCTTGAGTCTCAGTTTTGGGATGATTTGGTGAAGTTTTGAGGTGGTTTGAATTGAAAATTCGAAATAAAAGCTGAACATGAAAAAAAATGATATGTGTATCACATTGTGTATCATTTGTGTATCACATATGTATCATATTTGTATCAATTGTTTATCACATGTATATCCATGTATACCTGTGTGTGTGATACATGTTTGATACGTGTGTCGCAGAAGACTTTTTTGAACTCGATTTAATTACGAATCTTGATACAAAACCAGTCCAAATCACCTCCAATCTTCCTCAAATTTTGTATCTTGACTTATCTATATACTTTCAATGAATTTCAACTATACCCATTGAAAAAGTTCCTTTTTTGTTTAGATTTTTGGAATATTTTATAGATTTTTGTATTTCATCACCTTATTTGCTACCCTGTCCATGAAATTTCCTTTCCGTCTTGTATCTAATGTTGCTAATCACGCTTAAAAATATGGAAGGTGATTTTTGCATGTGATTCTTTTGAGAGAAAGAACCCTATTATTTGGTTTTTCAATTTTTGTTGGCTAGTTTTGATAAGTCTATAACTAATGGCTAGAGATTGGTAAGTTGAGATATATTTGGGACATTTGTGTAAGTTTCCAAAAAAAAAAAAAACTCATGCCTGCCAACCCAGCCGTAACTATATTCCAAACTTCCATAAATTCTCTTATCATCCCAATCTTCTTCCAAGATTCACCCACCCCACCTCACCCTATACCCTCTAAAATCCCATCAAACATCAATACGTGTTTTAGAGCTATCATTAATTTAAATTCGACAATAGTAAGACTTATTCTTAAAAAATTATAATCAAAAGAAAAATTATACCGTATAATTGCTTTTAAAAATAACATTAAAAATATATATATTGTTTGTGTATTAATATAAAATATACGCATTTTATATATAATTAATTATAATTTTTACATAGTTAACTAACAAAAATAATTATTTTTAATTGCGCGGTTAAATGTATAACTTGTCCATAGGGGCAGAACTAGATGGGCAAAGAGGATTTAGCCGAAACCCCTTAGCCTGAAATTATACCGTATATATAAAGTTAAATTTTTATATATATACATATATTAGATATTGAATCGCTTTAACCAAGGACAGATCTAGGGGGGCGAAAGTGTGTTCACTGGAACCCCCTTCACCAAAAAATTACACTATATATATAAGATAAAATTTATTTTAACTGTATATATTATGTTTTGAATTCCTACTAGCCATAATCTCTTTTAATTTTTTTAACTTTTTTCTTGTTTGAACCGCTTTACTTCTTAGCGCGTTTACCTTTTTTTTTTTTTTTTTTAATTTTTTAAATCCCCTTAATAAAAATTCTGTTTTATCTTCATCAAAGATAAAAATCCGAGGCCTTGTATTAAGGTCCCACCACTCTCTTCAAATTTCTCAAATTTTCCCTATTTAAGATGTTTGCTTATCCACTTTTCAAAAACAGTCCTTGATTTGCTCAAACTCTTTTCCTTTTATCTCTTCACGTATCTTCTACTTAAGCCTTTTCTCATTATTATTTGCTCACTAGTGACAACCCCTTTTTCTCATTCTATAATAAAGTTTGAATTTTTCTTTTTTAATAGAAACTTTATTCTGTGTTGTGAAAATGGTTATGCAGCGTCAAGAAAACATTTTGGTGACAGGAGGGGCTGGTTTTATTGGAACACATACTGTTGTTCAGCTTTTGAATGAAGGATTTAAGGTTACGATCATTGATAATTTCCATAATTCTGTTGAAGAAGCTGTTGATAGAGTCAGAGAATTAGTTGGCCCTCAACTTTCTCAGAATCTTGAATTCCATTTGGTATGTTTTTTTCTACTTTCTTGAATTTTGTTTGATCAAAACCAACATCACCCTTGTACTGAAACCAGAAATGGAAAAGGAAAAAGTTAGAAATGAAAGAATTCTATACATTTCTGGTTTTTTTTTTTTATTATCTAAAAGGGGTTGATAAGTTCACAAGAATTATTCGTTTTATAGTAGAATTAGGACTCCCTGACACAAACTTTTTTAGATAGTCATATGTTTACACGAAAATTTTGTATTTATTGAAACTTGTTTAGTGCTTTGTTTTCTTTTCCTTTTTTATTTTTTGGGTTAAAGTTGCCCTGTTTCATGTTGTTCTCATCTTCTGAAAAAGGTAATCTTGATCAAGTGGCTGTTGCTGTATATATGCCTTTTTGTCCCTTTTTTTTCTTTTTATTTGTTCTGTGATTTTGCAACTAGGTCTTTTTAATCCTCGGTAGGAAAAAAGTAAGTATCAGCTTATCACGGAATGGGAGCCTAGGCATAACTGGTAAAGTTGGTGTCACGCGATCAAGAGGTCACAGGTTCGAGCCGCGGAAACAGTCTCTTGCCGAAGTGTAAGAATGTGTACAATAGACCTTATGGTCCGGCCCTTCCTCGAGCTTAATGCACCGAGTTGCCCTTTTATATCAGCTTATCATGGTTAAGTGATTAAATGAGGTGACATTTATCAGCTTATCAGGGTTATGTGATTAAATGAGGTGAAAGTATATAATAAGTTAACCATGGTTAAGTGATACAAGTTTAGTGAGTTTTTACCACTTTATCTTCCTCAAATAAACAATACTAAACTGGTTCTTTTGCTTGCTTTGGGATTTCATCTTATTTGTTTCTTGGTGGCAGGGTGATATCAGAAACAAAGATGATTTGGAGAAGTTATTTTCTAAAAGAAAGTATGCAAATCTCTTGCTTTAAAATGTCTCCAGCTGTTATAATTTCCTTTATATGCATTTCTATGTGGTCTTTGATTGATCGTTTTGCAATATATATCGAAATAGGTTTGCTGCAGTGGTCCATTTTGCGGGACTTAAGGCTGTTGGGGAGAGTGTTGATCATCCCTTTCTTTATTTTGATAACAATCTGATTGGATCAATAACTTTGTATTCAATCATGGCCAAATATAATTGTAAGAAGGTATGTCTTTTGATATATTATTGGTTTCTCTTAAATATGTATATTAAAATAGGTTACGCATTCAGGGCAACTTGGAACCTGTTATATTCATCATGTTGCTACCCTTCTACTTATAATTTTGGTAGAATTTGAAGGAAAATAGTAAATATGAGCTTCTTTCAAGAACTCATTTTGCTGCAAAAAGTAGAGAAATTTTTGAATTCCTACTTTTGGTATAGAATTGGTTGGTCAGGTTGATAACTTTTTTAATTGATGATGTTGAATTGCAGTTGGTTTTCTCATCATCTGCAACAGTTTATGGTCAGCCTGAAAAGATTCCGTGTGTGGAGGATTTTGAATTGAAGGCTATGAATCCCTATGGTCGGACAAAAGTTAGTATTGTGAATAATTCTCTTGTTATTTTGAAGTGTTTAAGATCGTTCAGCTGATCCTATCTCATTTTGTAGAGTATGAATTGTTTAGTTACTTCTTCTCACTAACATGTCTTTCCTTCTATTTGATTAGCTATTTCTTGAAGAGATTGCGCGGGATATTCAGAAGGCAGACGCTGAATGGAATATCATTTTGCTGAGATATTTCAATCCGGTAGGAGCTCATGAAAGCGGCAAACTTGGGGAAGATCCAAGGGGCATTCCCAACAATCTCATGCCTTACATTCAGCAAGTAGCTGTTGGTAGATTGCCAGAGTTAAATGTGTATGGCACCGACTACCCTACACCTGATGGTACTGCGGTAGGTTCTGTTGACTGATTTTTGTAACTATAGCTTTTTGTGTATGAAAAAGGAAAAAGAAATCAAACGAGTTAAATTAACCAGGTGACTAGCATTCATATCAAAGAAGCAGGAAGCGAAGAGTGAAGCAAACTTACCTGCTGGCTCAACGTATGAAACTGTTGACAGAAATATAGTAGAATATTTAAGTAGATTTGTGGCACGAACTTGCTACCTTCAACATGTTTCATTCCCATACATAGACTGGTAAACCATTTATAATCTCTTGCTCGCCAGATACGAGATTACATCCATGTTATGGATTTGGCGGATGGTCATGTTGTTGCACTTCAGAGACTTCTCAAGCAAAATGACTTAGGTAAGTAAATCCTTTCAAGTAAAGCTGAGCTCCGAATTCTTTTGATTTGTCTGCGAGAAAATGATACATTTCCTTGTACTTTCAATTGAAGACCATGCTCTTTTATTTTAGCTATTGAAGGTAACATTTTCTCTTCTCTTTGATGTTTTGCATTAGGTTGTGTTGCATATAATTTGGGAACTGGTAAAGGCAAATCTGTGCTAGAGATGGTTGCTGCCTTTGAAAGAGCATCTGGAAAGGTCTCTCTCTCCGTCTCTCTTAAATAAAATAGCGAATTTGAATGAATTGAACAAGCTCTTCATTTGTTGCATGTTTTTTGCATTTCAGAAAATTCCACTTAAAATGTGTCCAAGAAGGCCAGGAGATGCCACTGCTGTTTATGCATCAACCGAAAAAGCTGAGAAGGAGCTTGGCTGGAAGTAAGTAGTAGCTGGTTTTCTATTTTCTTTTTCCTATTAAGGCTAATGTTCATGCACAAATCTTCAAATTTCAGCAGTTGGAAGAGGATACTAATACAGGAATTAACTATTTTTGTTTCTTTTCGTAGGGCGAAATATGGTGTAGATGAGATGTGCAGGGACCAGTGGAAATGGGCAAGCCAAAATCCTTGGGGTTACCAATCAAAACCTTGAAATGTTATACAAGTAATAGTTGGAGGACTCAGATCAGACCAACATTGAAAATGCTCTTTTAAACTTTATAATACTAAGTTTCTTAAGAGTTGGATCTGTAGTCAACATCCTAATATTTTACATTTTCTGCAAACATAAATGTATCTAAGGCTAAAACTGTTCAATATGTAATAATTGCTATTGATGGTTATGTACTGGTGAAGCATGTTCTTGTTTTTACCTTAAATGGTTTTAAGGGGGCTTAATTGTGCCTCCTATCTATGACCTCTTCAACCAATTGCTTTACTGATTGTAATTCTTCCAAAAGGAGTAAAGAATGTAGTTATTTATTTTATTAAAGGTGACAGTAGCTGTGTGGAGACTGAACCAAGGTCAAGATTGGAGATTTATATAGCTTGGGATTAGGTTGTACTGAATTAACGGCAAGGCAATAATATACATGCTTCTCGTCAATGGAGGCGTATTCAGGATTTAAGTTCAATGAGGTTTAACATTTAAGGATTTAAGTTCACTGGGGTTTAACATTTAAGGTTTTTGGATTGAACCCGTATTTCTAAAGTTAGGGGTTCATACATGCTATTTCTTGCAATTATTATGAATTTTAACACTTAAATTTGTGCTCCTCGTTAAAAATACTGGTTCAGATTATTATGTTGCATCCGCCTCTACTTGTCAAGCACACTTACATGTAGTATATACGATTTTGAGCTACCTCAAAGGTTATCTTAACATTAGTATAATTGAACTTTTAAGCTAGAAATTCTGTATCCTTATTTTGTCTGTGAATTGAGAGATGCTCTCAAATGTGCGCGATTATTTACTTCATTCTGGTGAAATCATGGTTTATAAGTTGACTTAAACAAGGTAGGAGTAAGGTCTACGTATACTATACTCTCCAGATCTCACTTGTGGGATTACAGCTATGTTGTTGTAAGTTGACTTAAACATAATATCCCCTGGCTCAGTGTAAACAATTTGAGAAAGGCCTTCATTCTGGTCAAGCTACGTTATAGTTGACTTAAGACATCCTTTTCTATCACCTGCTTCCATTTAAATATAGTAGTGGTTAACCAACTATCCTTTACTTGAGACAGGATATATCACCAGCCAGTTATCAATGTGTAACATATGCACTTCTCTTCAATTAGCTGCATAACAATCCAAGACTTAGTTTTTTTCCTGCTATTGATTTTCACTAGTTCCTGACAATCAAATTGCTCTTAGAACACACTGTTCTCTTGAGTAACATCATTTGCTGCACAGTTGAAAAAAAGAGAGAATCATGAAAGAAGGGAATGTGCTGATGATTGCTCAGAGAATGGTATCTGATGCATCTCCTTCATCAACTCCAAGATCTCCAGCTACACAACCACCTTTGCCAACACCATCACCATATTCGTTTTCTGTGGCATCGACAAGGTTGAGCTCAAGGCCTTCTATTCATACATATGATCTTACCCTCAGGTCACTGGCACTTCTCTTCTCCTTCATCTCCGCTCTCTCGCTAGCTGCACAAGAAGGGACCAAAAAAAAACAGATCTCCAGCTTCTATGATCACCCAGAATTAACGTAAGAATCAACACTGAGATCCATTTGAATGTCTTTTTTTGGTTGTAGAGGATACTAGAATTTAAACTAAGAACAATCAGTGCAATGGTTTTGAGAGCTACTTTACACCACTGCAGGTACTGCTTCACAGTAAGCATATTAGTTTTTATATACTCGGCCTTTCAACTCTTCAAAAGAGTTTGTGACATTGCTTATAGAGGGGTCTTGATCTTGGATATGACCTCTGACTACCTCAGTTTCATATTCGATCAGGTACTTATTAACTTCAATTAGCTAGTGATTTCTTCCGAGTACAAAACCATAGTATCTGATTCACATACAACTATGACCATAAAAATGGTTGCACCCATTCCTGTAGTTAAAACAAGTATCAAGAATTCTCTTCTTCTTTTTTTCCCTGGATGTCACCGAAAGAGTGAATATATGCTCAATTAACCACCAAAGCTAAATCTTTATGTTGAATAAAGAAGAGGAGTAGACAGTATCTTATCTGACTATCAAGCAACCTAAATTTCAACTTTTCTGAATGCTTTTTTCTAGTTCTCCTCTACATTCACTGCAGATAAATCTTTCAAAAACACAAATTCTCATAAGCAGAGTGTTGCACAGTTGGCAGGTTACCTCCTTTTGTCTTCTTCTTCAGTAACCATACCAGTCATTCAACAGATGAATAGCCAAAGCTCACTCTGGAAGGCGGCTGCCGTTGCTGATTGCATGTCATTTAGTGCTTTCATGGTCATTGCAGTCTCCGCTCTCTTATCAGGCTACAAGCTGTGCAAAAGGATCATATGGTGATGCACTGGGAATTGAACGCGTAGCCTTCAACTCCAGGATTGACAAAGCTAGAGTGTAAAATGGGGACATAATTTCTTCACCACTTTTTTGTTTCAGTCAAGAACGTTTTAATCCACTTGAAGCATCACAAGTAGCAATTGGTGGGATATACCGACTATCTCCAACTACGCTAATGGTCTGGTAAAAGTTGATACAAAGAGGGTTCGGAAGTTTATAGCAAAGAAGAGAGGATTTTGGTAGAAAATATCCATATTTTAATTGTTGTGTCGTTGTTATGGTGAATAAAGAGTATAACTAGTACAATATAAGCTAGATTTGTGCTTCAAAGTAACAGCAACTTACAATTCTATTTCTATATCTACAGAATATGTTTTCCTGTATTTCCAATTATGCCCTGAAGACAACAATTAAACAGGACTATATTCCCTTTTCTTCATCGGGAACGAAATTATTATCAATACTATAAAACACTAGCCATTCATATACCCAAAACAGACAACCTTGATGAACAAAGAAGTAGGTTCAGCTAAAAACCTACTGTTGTTGCCATTGCAACATTAGGAACAATAAATCACATAGTATTTTTCAGCATCTATTTACTAATATCCGGCATATCTAGAAATAACAATTGTCTCAGATGACTTACATATATGATTCTAAATAAGTAGAGGTTGAAGCAACTCCTTCACAATACCATCAGATCCAATGTAGACTGCCTCGGCACATTCTTTAGAAGCCAAAATATCATCTGAATTGACATGTAGTGGCAGGCAACAACATTTCCAGCTCCCACCATTAGTAAACAAAATCCAGTTGTCTTTAGTGATTTGACTTGTAAGAATTTGAAAGAAGCATGTGCTATGTAGATTAATCTTCTGTAATGACAAGATTTCCGTCAGAAAATTCACAAGCCTGAATGGAGAGGGAAAGCTGCTTCTGCAGTTTTTTCACTACAAAGACTTCTGGCTCCTCACATATGGTCACTACCGTGCCCTTGCGGCCAAGCCTACCTGTACGGCCAGCTCGATGTGCATAATGAACTGAGTCAGTAGGTAACCCCAAATTAACTACAAGATCACATTCAGGTAAATCCAAGCCTCTAGCTGAAAGCTCATTTGTTAGCAGCACCCTGACCTCCCCATTTCTGAACTTCTTTAAGATAGTTGATCTTACAAGTTTGCTGAGATCACCATGTAACTCTGCAGCTTTCATACCACGAGCTTCTAGTTTGAAGACAGCATCTTTTAGTTGTTTTGTGTGGTTCATAAAAGCTATCACACACTTGGCATCCAGAGCATGCACACACCTTCTCAACATATCAACTTTGTGCTGTATCCTAGTAATAGTGTAATAATGCTGCAAATTAGGGGGTAAGCTCTGAACACTAGGCATACCTTGTACATTTGAGCTTGAACTAGCAGTAGGTGGTGTTCCTGAGATATTAACAGGTCCAGAAGGAGAGACAGACTCAAGCGGGACGACTTTATTGGCTTGAACGAGAAGTGGATCGCAACCCCAGCTTCTTGCTGCTCTTATAACTGAAAAAGGCACTGTTGCAGACACCATGATAGTCTGACGCGCAGATCGCTTGACAAGTGGACTATTTGACTCTCCCCCGCGTGCACCAGGTCTTCTCCCCACATGGTCTAATATCCGCTGCATGTCCTCCCGGAAATTGACAGCAAGGAGCTGATCAACTTCATCCAAAACCAAGTAACGACAACCATGGGTAGGAAGCTTTCCAGCTGCACTAATCTCGGCTATCCGTCCAGGTGTCCCCACTACGATGGAAGGCTTATTCTTCCTCAGAGCTTCCTCCTGTCTCGATCGGTTTGCACCCCCTACAAGCTGCTGGACTAGTTTCTTGTCCGCTGGTCCTAATAGCTTTTCTACTTCCCTGACAATCTGCATGCCAAGTTCCCTTGAAGGAGCTACTATTACTGCTTCGATGCCCACTTTGTTCCCAGCTTCAGAGCCATTTGAGATCTCCCCACTCAATGGACCAACTTGAGACAGTATGGGAAGGACATAAGCTAGTGTTTTTCCTGAACCTGTGTACGACTGAATCACAACATCGTGATTTTTAAGAACAGTTGGAACTGCAGCAGCCTGAACATCAGTTGGAACCGTAAAGCCTTCCTTCTCTAGCCTTTCGACCAACAAAGGTGGAAGGCCAAGCTCTGAAAATGATTCTGCAGCAAATGGTGCAGTCTTTATATCTATGGGGTTTCTCTCCTTAATCAATCCTGTTTTATTGCCACTAACTTTTTTCTTCACTCTGCTCTTGGGGACCTCAATTGTTGAAACACCCTGCTGGAGCTTATTTGTCTCATTTGCACTTACTGTCTTAACTTCATTCTTCAATCCAAGGCTAGCTAGAGTGAGGGATGCACTGTCACTTAAAAAGCGGACCTTGTCTCGAAATGGAGCTATCCTTGTAAACTGTGAAACATTCCTCAAAGATAAAGAATCACCAACTAACAAGAGGGCCCTTGTTAGCACTAAAACAGGCATGATTTTTCTAGCACTTGTTTTCTCAGTTGCTATCTTAAGGAAGAACTCAAATTTGGTATGACTATTTACAATGCCAAAATCCTCTTAAGCAGTGTACTATCCTCACCGATCAGACTGCAACAAGAACATTAAAATATCAGAATAAATAACAATGTTAGGACCTATAACAAGTATAATTAAGATTTAGCATATCGGCATTCTTTTTACTAGAAATTGAGATGTAGTGACATAGGTATGCCTCTTTTGTGCTATAATATCCCTCTTTGAGAAAAAAGGAAAAATTCAAACTAATATAGAAAACAAAAAGCATCAGAGCAAAAGGCATATGACACATAACTCAATCAATCAACTATGTCTCATTAACAACTAGTTGGTGTCTGTTATATGAATTCTCTATATCCATTCCGCTCGCCCAGCCATACATCCATTTTTTCTTTTGGCCGTGTTTGTTAAGTTCAAAAACGCACCTTAGGTGCTGAGTGTTGTCTTCTCTTCCCTAACTAAACAGAATTCTTTGTGCTCATCTAATTCCAATATTAAATAATTTGTCTTTGAAGTCCATGAGCGGAAGAACTGATTTTTAAAAAATAATTTGTGCACTCTTTAAGAGCAAAACCAGATAAGTGGCAGTAAAGTGAAGCCTGCCTGGGCAGAAACTGTTATAAGTCTCACAAATCATCCACGACTAAGTTTTCCATTTGTTGAACACAAAAACCAGAAACTACTAAAGCAGACATTTTGTCAAACACATGGTGACCAATCCAATGAAAACCAACTAAAACTCAGCTCAACTCTCATTTCTAACACCTACGTATTTTCACTATTAACATTCTAAGTATAAGGATAGCATTAATAGAGTTTATTTACTTTATCGAGAGTTAGGTCTTTTACCTTCTTATGCTTGTGTTCTCCACCTTAGCTGCTATCAATCTGCTCGTAGCGAAAGAGAAGGATATCCTTATTTTTATCATTCTGATAAGAACCAGGTCGACTTATGCAGCACCTCGTTCTCATTTGGGCTTATATAAAGTCCCTACCAATATAAGCCTGTCCTTTTTGGGCTACAGCCCAATTTGTTCTTTACAATACCCGGCCCAGTTTCTGAATTTTCCTTTTCGCACTTCAAGAGTATATGCTCTCTCTTTGTTTAATATTCATCTTTTTTGGAATTTGGTTTTAGAGAAATGATTACTTTCAAGAAATTGAAGAATTGATGTTTGATCCTAGTACTTAGAGCCCGTTTGGTATTAAGTTTTTTTTTTACTTTTTTTTCGAAATTAGTGTTTGGCCATAAAATTTTTAATTTTCACTTGAAGATGAATTTTGGAATTTTTCAAAAATTTGAAAAATTCCCAAAAACTGTATTCCAAAATTTTCACGTCAGATCACTTACAAAACTTCAAAATCGCCTAAAATTATATCCATATCCAGACACAACTCTAATTTTCAAATATCATTTTCGCTTGAATTTTTTTTCTCTACTTCTTTTCAGAACTTTACAATTCTTATGTCCAACGCCCACTTAGAATCTCATCGTTCTATTTGAAAAAAATATAAGTTTTATAAATATATGAGGGAAAAAAAGCTCATTTAAATTTTTATGTGACTATGAGGGTATTTGGATTGGCTATTAAAAAGAAGCTTGTAAGCTAAAAGCCAAAATTCATAAGTTGGTAATACCCAACTTTTAGCTTTTGGCTTATTTTGTACTTTTCATGTTCAAAAGTAAGTGCTTTTAAGCACTTTTTATCATTATTAAACACCACAAAAACTAGAAAAGTATTTCAAAGCCAATAAATACTTAAAATAAGTCAACCCAAACACCCTCCATGTCATGTGAATATGAAAAACTTTATTGGGAGTTATTATTGTTGTACATGAATATGCAAATTTTTTGTGTTACATGAACTTGTACACTTGGTAAAAAACCATGCAAAATTTTCTAATACTTGGACTTGTACACTTGGGGGGAAAGCCATTTATTCTACCCAAGATAAAAGACGAAGAGGGGTCAGCAAATCAAAAGGGACTTTTTCGTATATATACCAGATTTTAAACTTATCTCTTCGGTTTTGTCTAAGTTTTTATATTTACAGGAAGTAATAAAAGTTTTTTACAAAATATATACAAATTCGATTAAAATCGACAATTTATCTACAACTTAAAATACACATTTTTTTGTACATAATAATCGAGTCAGAAACGGCAATTTACATACAATTTATATACATCTTATATACAATTATATAAGTTGTAGATATTTTTGTATGGGTCAAAATCCGCCTGATAATATTCGAAATAAGATTACCCAGAAGAAAGAATTCTCGAATCGTCATTAGCCGAGGTGATCCAGGAAGTAGAAATACTCGTAGTCGAAGAGTCGGCGGGAGCCGTGGTCGAGATGATGACAAATGGTCGAGGTCGAGCATCATTGATGAAGCTGTAACGGCTAGTTTTCGAAATAAGATACTAAAGGGAATATTCTCTGTGATTTGTACTATTAGGGTTTGTTAGAAATGTGTGTCATACATATAGAAAGAGGGCAAAAAATATGAGGCACGTGAGATTCATTTGTAAAAAGTGACTTTTGACAAAATATTCTCTTTCTCTCTTACTAAGAGACAAGCTTTACCTCTTTATCAAGATCCTTGTCCAAATTATTCCACACCTTTCCATCCGATCCAAGAAAGATTCGAACATTCAAGGACTCATCTGTCACTGATCATTGTTAGAAGAAGTAACCGTCTAATTCATTGGGTGAATCACTCCCCCTAGTTACTTGAATATCATTTATTGTTATATTTGCCATTAAATGCAATATTATTGCTCATACATTTCGGAACAATTATTGCATGTTGCTGTCATTCTTTCACTAGATCTACTTAACGCTAATCATGCTTTCGGAACTCACATCTAAAAATATTATTGTTAACTAGGTTTAACCCCTTGTCATATAAATTTAATTATTTGAATCAAGAATTATATCTTTTTGGTCAACCAATTTGGCGCTATCTATGGGGATTTTCTAGTTAAAATTTTAGATTTTTCTAGATCTACAACCAACACGGATCACTGACATCATAAAGCCCAAGATCTTCTCTTTCCTTGTGCAAAATCTGACATGGTAGGTAACCGAGAAGAGAGGGTGAGGATAACAAATGACTTACCGAACAACCTCATAATTGTCCTCAACGAGAGCTACGAAACAGCTGGTGAGGATACGACGCCCAATGCCTCCCCTAGACGAGATGGGTCACCTCTTCCTCACTGTAGCATCACAAAATCTCTTTGTAAGGGAACTCCACATCTATGGCGGAGGAGACGCCCCTAACTGTAAAAAAGCTCCTTGAGGCATGGCTAACTAACACGCTAACCAGCGTCCTCCATAAGCCCTCTCAGGACACGGTTACAGAGAACGCAAGTACTTGCGTTATACAACCAGCGGACGAGCAGCACAACCAACTCCCTCCTCCTCCAACGACTGGTATTACTCACGATGTCATTAATAATGCAGGTGGAGACACTCTCGCAGCCATTTTGAAAAGGATGGAGGAAACGGAGAATGAGAACAAAGCACTCCGGGACCAAATGAGAGAACACCAAGAAAGGGTCGATAAGATACCGGGCGCCCCTAAACACTTGCCGAAGAAAGATGCCGGCCAGTTTGTCGAGTAGCCATATAGTGATGACGCCGCCCATATGCCATACCAAAAACCTTTAAAATGCCGCCCTGCCTAGGATATATGATGGCACGACCGACCCTGAAGATCATGTAACGTTACCGCCGTGAAAGTCAATGACCTCGCCAAAGAACAAATATCTTCCATTTTGTTGAAAAAATTCGGTGGAACTCCCTAGGAGGAGCGTTAACATGGTATTCGCAACTACCTTCGCGTTCCATTGAAACTTTCGAAGAGATGGCCGATAAGTTCGTAATGGCCCATGCTGGGGCCAAGAAGGCCGAGGCGAGAGTGAACGATATATTTGCAATTAAATAATCTCCGGGAGAGGGATTGAGGGACTTTCTCGCCCGGTTCAACCGAGTAAGGATGACTCCGCCAAACGTGTCAGAAGGGATGGCGGTCGCAGCCTTTCAAAACGGGCTGAGTAGGGGTGGTTCCAGGGCGACTAGAAAGTTATTAAGTCGACTGATGAAGTACCCCCAACCATTTGGGATGAAATACACAACACGTATTGTGCCGGGGTCCAAGCAGATGAGGACGACCTCAATGGACCAACTCATCAACTGACCTCGGTATAGGCCGAACCCAGAAAAGATCAAAGAAATGATACCAGAAGAGACCTCAGAGTTCGTGACCTAACAGGGAACAACATCAACCATTTGTCAGAGCGGCCGTTGCACCCTCCTCCCGCTATGAAGAAGGCCCGCCTAGACCAAGGACAGGGACTCATCGGAATGAAAGAGGTATGCCACCTTTATTATCTGCTCACAGGTTTTGTGTGTCACCTACAAAGATAGTCTACCCCCTGGAGAAGCTCGGACCAAAGGTGAAGTGGCCGCAGAAGATGAGATCAGATCCGAGTACCAGGAAGTCAGACGCCCTCTGCGAGTTCCACCAAGAATGAGGGCACAAAACCAAAGATTGCATCGCCCTAAGGCAGGGTCGTGAACATGTTACGACAAGGACACCTCAAAGAGTTGCTGAGCGACCAGGGAAGGACCAACTTTGCCAGAGGCCGCGAACAATACCAAGGACCGCCGAAGCCTCCCTCACCAGCTCATACTTTCCAAATGATCATCGGCGGTGGCAACGATGCTTCCATTAACAGCTTGAAGGTCACTACTACCCACAAGCTCAAACGATCAATCACCCGCGAACGGTATGACGAACTCGAAGAGAGTATCATCTTCTATAAGTCAGATATCAACGGTTTGGCTTTTCATCACTATGATGCCCTTGTTATCACTTTATGAGAAAACAAAGGTACCGCAATCCCCTTTTATTATATTAGCAAAACATTAGTCAACACCGAGACAAGGTATCCTCACCTCGAAAAGTTGGCCCTGGCCTTAGTCGTAGCTTCGCGAAAGCTTAGACCGTATTTCTAGTGCCATCCCATCTCGGTCATCACGACTTCCCCCCTAAGAAACATTTTGCATAAACTAGAGTTATCGGGAAGGCTGGCTAAATGGGCCATCGAGCTGAGCGAGCACGATATCACGTACCAGCCGCGAACAGCGATAAAGTCACAAGTGATCGCTGACTTCGTTGCCGACATCAGCACAAAAGTAATGCCCGAAGTTGAAAGAAAAACCGCTCAAACTTCCTCCCAAACACAAGATCTCTGGGTCCTATACACTGATGGCGCATCCAACGCATCAGGGGCCGGACTAGGACTCGTACTCGAAGTCCCAACAGGCGAAGTAATTCACCAGTCCATAAGGTGCCCGGATATGACTAACAACGAGGCTGAGTATGAGGCCATCATTGTAGGTTTGAGACTATTACTCAAATACGAAGCAAGATGGTTAAAACTACCTATGATTCCCAACTCATAGTCAGCCAAGTCACATGGACTTACCAAATCAAAGAACAAAGATTGCAAAAATATCAAACTGAAATCTGCAAGCTACTTCTCGAGTTCGACGAATGCCAGCTCGACCAAATTCCCTAAGCACCGAACCCTGAGGCTGACGACCTTGCTAAACTGGCCGCAACCACCAAAAGCATCAAAACCGGAGACAAGAACGTAGTCCACCTCCTCAACTCATCGCTTGATCAAATTGAGGTAAGAACCGTAAGCTTAACTTGGGACTAGCGCAATCGTACTGTTACATATTTGCTGGACGGCACACTCTCAGATGATAAAAAAGAAGCCAAGAAACTGAGAATGCAAGCGGTCAGGTACAATATCATCCACAACGACCTGTGTAAGAGGACTTACGGCGGCCCTCTAGCAAAATTCCTGGGCCCAAATCAGACGCGTCCTTGAAGAGGTCCACGAGGGCCATTGTGGAGCTCATTC